GCGCGAGTAGACAATCGCCGATTTCAGAGCAAGTGTCATGAACCAAACTGGCGAATATCGGTTCGGCATTACATATGGCAATGGCCATTGTGAGACCATCAGTATGGTGCTCGCAGAGTGGGAACTTGAGTGTGAATTACCGATGGCGTCGACATGGTGAGACCCAGGAAACATTCGAAAAGAAGGAAATTATTAGCCAAAGCGACAATATTCTATACCTGAAGTTTTGCATTCTCCAGAAAAACCCAACAGTTGGAGACGGAAACAGCTAGGTGTATCGGACTGACAGGAGGCAAAACGTTTAAATATTCTAAAGTTGTTGTGCGACCACACATTTATCGAGTTAACGACACCCGAATCCATCGTCGGCGACTGTATCTGGTTAAATCAAGTGCTGTATTTGATAAAGTTTGGAGTATTAGGAATCGTAAGTGCTTTTTCGTGCAACGTGCCCGTAAGCTATGCAGATTTTTCGAAATCAATTTCCAAACCGTACACTCTCAGCATTTTTAAGGGGACCTTATGCATTTACCAAAGCAGTATCATGTAAACATAGGTAACAGTCTTATCAAAAGTAATGACATGGAAACTTTAAATAAAGAGCCCTGTCTTAAGGTTTCTAAAAACAGACAATAGCAGACTATTTATTTGCATTTTTAGGCACTGGGTTGCACTCTGCTTTGCAGTACTTGGTGGACGGAGTTCAATCAGAAGAGCATTCAAAATTGTGGTTTTTGATTAAATTTAAACTTTTAAAACATGATTTCACTACGGCAGTCCGGCCGTTGTGACCAACAATTTTCACTGTGTGCAATCACGGTAATCTGTGCCCAAGATATTTTATAGTCGGGGTGGACTTGCACAGCGTCTACTGCACGCTCTCCTTGTTCCCCAACTAGGCCAGGCAAAAAGATATTGTTGCGAAGGCTGAAGGCGGGAGAGGACGCCGGTGGCTGGCACGACTGCATCCGCGACTGGACGTGCAACCACACCCCCGGTCCACAACAAACATCGCCTGAATTTCGATCAACGACAACAACAAGCAGGATGACGGCCGGCATGGCGGAGCCACCGTAAACTCGATCCCGGTCGCAAAACAGGTACCAAACAGCAATACCATCAATTTAAGAAGAATGACACTGACTTGCACGATAATTCGGTCGAAGAAGACAGGGCGGAGCGGTTTTATTTCAAGTCTATAAGCTCAGAATTAAGTTTTTATTTATAAATATGTAGACCGAAGTCCATCAGCCACAGCGGATAACCGTTGACTATTCATTAATCGCCGACAGGCAAATATTATTATACGTTGGGCAAAGTAATTTATACTAACAGCACGGGTTCAGGTTAAAAGCCCATACATGCGTATTTCGCCAATATTCTGCCGCTGCATGACACAGCCACGAGACAATAAAAGGGCGTAATCTATTGGCGTAGATAAAGATGTCATTGTGACAAAGCCTATCGAATGCATATACCGCTCCTTAACGGATGCAGATCATCACCGGTGAACTTTGAATTGCGTTTATACCTTTGTGAGTCAGTGTGCGCTGTGAAATTCCAGCTTTATGCAACGTATACTATCCCCCACCTTGGCACCGTGTCCATAGCGCGCATAAGATGAATTGCCGCACTGGCTAGTCTTGCGCAAAACCTCCATCGGTCCCGGCAATGGTGAGAATAAACACCGTAGCTGGCGCTCCAACCCAGGCAACATCGAACCTTCTCCCGCTCCATTACCGTAAGGGTGGCTTCACAGGGAATTTATCACCGGATATGCTTTCCGTTAATACGGCTACCGCGGTGTTTGTAAACCCCGCTTGGCCATCACGAGAAGTATGGACTCTGTGTTAGGCAGAGTGGAATATGTGCCTAGCGCAAGAGTGCACTTGTATGTTACTATAAACGCATTAAATTAATGGTCCTCCAAATCTGTGCACTTTATCATTTCGTCTCCCCAGCAACTACGATGCACTTCAGTGTTTTATTGTAAATAACCATATTGTTGTTTGTGTGTCCGTCCCATTTTACTGCCATTTAACGTTACATGAGTACTTTGTGATTATGTTCGGTTAAAAAAAGGCGTAGTTTAGTTGACGACGGCCGTTTGCTTTTGTCTTTCCGTCATTTTCGCCTTATACAAGTCAAAATTGTCAATTCTGCGTTCGTTTAAATTAGTCAGAAATGCTAATTCGATGCTAATTATGCTGTATCATTGTAAGCAGTAAGAATGCATTCGGAGTTTGCTTGTGGAAGTCTTAGCAACTCTTCTCCTGTGAGGCTGAGATGCGCTTGCTGATGTCTAAAAAAACAGCTTGTATAGGACACGTTTTTACACACTACTGACAGATTCGTTGTTCTACTTTGAGTTGTATCCGCCCCGGATTTGCGCTAGCAGCAAGTGCTGACAGGCTAATTGCGCAGTAACAAAAAGTACTTTGTCCTTTTTCCGAAATAAAACGCCTTTTAATTACGCCGCCCTCTGAGAGCCTATTGATCCTCCTTTAATGAATGCGGCAGACTGCACGGAAATATTACTTCCTTTCCTTGCAGATAATGTTTGTGTAGAGTCTACAGGGGTGAGCCGTTTGTTTCATTCGATTTTTCTTTTAATCCTGCATTTAAATAATTTCATTCAGATTTGTTATCGCCTTACTCCAGGTGGACTCGTACCTGTTAACCTTATCTTTGGCGTTTGTCGACCGAGAGAATTAGCTGAAGAAATTTCAGTCCAGTTGCATGCCACCAGACATCTCACAATCACATTTGGTGGTCGTACCAAGGATGTTTTAGTAGACTGCTTAAAAGTGTCTCATGCCTGTCTCATGTCTTAAAAGCATCTCTTGCAACTCTTTAGAAACAAATCTTCTACACCTACCGCGACGACGCCTGCGATTTCGACGTCCTTGTCCGCAGTTTACTGCTCTCTTCATCCCCTTCGTCCAAAATTTGTCAGTATGATTCTGTACCTCATTCATGCCAAATATAACCCTGCCGTCGCAGTGCGTGTGAAGACCAAGATATTGAAGGACCGCCCACAAAGAGCATTTGCTGCCGTTATGTCAAAATTAAATGGATGCACTCTCCCGTGGCACGTCGTGCAAATGTATCCCGCTCGCTTCATTTCATTGTGATTTGGGCATATGCATAATGTTAGTTTGACGATCATCACCTCATGTCAAGTCGGCTGATGAGTCTGACCTCGCTAGGAAACATCGGGGCGCGTACGGCAGACAGGTTAAAGAGATTAATTGATCCGTCTGTGATCCGGCGTTAACTGCTTCTTCATATACAGTCTGACGCACTTTGAGACTATAATGCATTATTGTCAAATAGAAGGTTCACCTGGCTCCACTACGGTAGGTGGGCTGGCTCATGGAATGTGAACCAAAATTCCAAAATAAGTTTCCGTTTCCAAAAGAATAATTAAGTAGGTTTGTAGCAATAATCACCATGCAGCATACCTCTGTAATAATTTATCTATCCCAGGATGCCGGTTTTCGAACGAACTTCTTGTCAGCTGCATGAAAACAATTATGCTTAGTAAAAAATGACTACTTATGTAGCGTTAGTTTTAGATGTTCCTAAGAATGCAATTATATTGTATGTAAAATATGAATAAACCTATTTATTCCTTTGCTCACTCGATAGAAAACTACCTTTTCATCCAATTTTATACTCAGGAGGGGATATAATTGTACTTTCAAAAACTTTTTCCATATTCGAATAATATTGAAATCGACATGCCGTTATATGTGCATTCCGGGTTTGCAAACTACGAGCTGTATATCTTCCGCGTAGGTGATACTATACAGTTCTCTACGGTATTAGGAGAAGGCTATACGGGTTTTGTAAAGTTTAGCAGTGGATTTAAACCATATTGCTAACTTTACCAGCCATATTGGTAAACGCAGAGACAAGACGATTTGCGAAAGGGCATTTCACGGTAATAAAAATCTCACGGTTAGAAACTTTTTATCCTAACCACAGTGTACCGTTTCTGCGAGTATAAAATTGTAAAAAGATGTAAGTTTCTGAAGAATAGGCAAGAGATCGAATATATATATATTGAATAACTGAAGTAGTATGCATTCCGCGAGGTTATGATGAAAGGAGGAAGTCCGTCGGAAATAAAGTTTTACTCGTAAATTTTCCAGCTGGTTGCACCAACCCGTCGTCAGACAAAGTGACAAGTGAGAGGTGGCATTACCACACTGCTGGTCGAGGACGCAGACAGAGAAGTACGCAGACGACCTTGTGAGTGGGAGGTGTGCATGGTGTTGTGATGGGTGCAGGAGGTGAGGATAGATGTTGTGGGTCCCAGTGGTGGTCCACCGTGTTTGGGGGGGGGGGGGGAAGGGGGAGTAGGGCAGGGAGGAATGGCGTGTCGGCGAGATCATGCATGTGCGGCACGCATTAGCTGTTGTTGTTCTTAAGGTCGGCGCCAGTCAGTCCAACGTGATCGGAGACCCTAGGTCAACATGGCGGTGGATGCTATTTGCACCGGAGTGCCAAGCGTCGAGGAATTACCGTGCATGTTTAGTGTCAGCCATGGCGACCACTTTGGTACTGTCCCAATTGAAACGGTGGTCGCAATCAAGAGCGTGTGCAAACACGAGAGATAAGGGGTCGCGTCGGCGGATGGCTAACTTGTGTTCATTAAAACGAGTCCCAAGTTTTCGACCCGTGTGACCAATATAAACCCAACGGCAGTTAGCGAGCGGGATACGTTAAATGACGTTACCTTGTTGTTCTTTGGGTATGGGATCCTTTGCCCGGGATGGTGCTGCGCGTAAGGAAGACGCCGGCTTGTGGGAAATGCAGATGCCAAACATGCTTTGTTGTCGAGCCATCGTTCCAGAAATTCCTCGCATGTAGGGCAGGGAATAATATTTCCTCTGTGCCACTTCTCCATTTTAACTTTGATCTTGTGGTTGTCTCTGACGTCTAAGACAATTTTTCACGAAGCTAATCGGATATACGTTAGATTGAAATAATTGTTATAAGTAGGCTAGTTCTCTCTTGGCAGTTACAGTACCGAAAGGTGCGGTGAAAAAGAGTTCGAACGCAACTCTTTTGTGGGCCGCAGGATGATTGCTCCCGTAGTAGAGGATGATTTCGGCACTTGAGTCTTTTCTGTGGACGCTGGTTGCGAGATTGCCATCAGTCAGTCTTTGTACACTGACGTCAAGAAAACGGAGGATGTCCCCTGTTGCTTCTTCGCGTGTAGATTGTATGGCGGGGAAGACACCGTTAACACTCTGGTGCAGTCGTTCAACTTCGCAGTTTTTTATGACAACGAAGGTATAATCTACGTAGCGGAGCCACATCTTTGTTTTGATGGCTTGAATAACAATTTCTTCTAGTCTTTGTAAGACTAGTTCGGCGAGTAGGCCCGATATCGGTGAACCCATGGGGGTCCCCTTGACCTGCTGGTAATACTTGCCATCGAATTGACAGTAGTTCTTAAGGCAGAGTCCAAGCATGTCTAAAACGTGCTCTGTTGGAATGCCAATCAAAGTTTTCTCTAAGCGTCAAGCTATGCTCTCAATGGCCGAGTTATGCGGTATTGAGGACAATAGAGCAACTACATCAAACGATAAAATGCATTCATTAGGGCTTACATTAAGGCCTTGGATCCTCTGAAGGAAAGCATGAGAGTTGTTGATGCTGTACTGCCATCCATTCTAAGGAGCCGAACCCCCAGCAGCTGTATCACGCGGCGGCAGAATGTCAATAAAACACTGTCTGGGACTTTACCTATGTCTTGAGTACTGTATAATACCCTGCCATAAACATGTTTATATACTACTCGTTACCTAGCACATTAAATATGCCTTAATTAACGAAATGACAATAACCAATGATGAAAACGCATTTAAGTGAACATTTAAAATAATGATTGGAAACACTATTTTGTTTGTACACATTAACTTTGTAATCCTCCGAGCATTAGATTTATGCATTGCAATGTGTCCAACCATGTGTTTCGGGACCATTTTGCCTTAAATCCATGCAAGTTCCGTTTTGACTTGTTTAAATGCGGTTAATTCGTCGAAAATATTTTGCATGATCTCATTTATAAAAACTTTACCGATTCCGCTGCTGACGCACCAGCCAGTGATTTGCGCATGCGACCGTAATCATACCATTTTGTGTATATTAAAAAATGATTTTTTACGTCAGATCTAAGTGCATTTCTTAGAGATGACAAGTATGCTGAATTTTAGAGCGTACATAAAATGCGATCGATAACATTTTAATTTTCTATGCGTTCAACCAATTGTGGAAAAGATAGGTTCCTTAATGTTCTTTTATCAAAATACTCAAAGTAACACGTTTTGAAAAACAATTTACCGAAACGATGAGTGGGAAAACGTTCGTTTTGAGTGGGATTGCTGTGTAGGTTAAGTTTGAAGAACCACACAGTATGAAGCCTTGCTTTCGAAAAAAATGTACTTTTACAACCGAATTCAGGGTCGAGTATCTTTTCGACTAACCTAAGTTTTTGCCGACCGAGCCTATTTTTAAAGCACTTTATCTTTCATTATGTTGGCGAATTTTCACATATGTGCTTAATATATACGGCAAAATCCATGGGAAAAGCGATATTTCTGACTGTTTTCTCACATTTGTAAAGGAGATTAATGCTTTTTCTACAGCAAACTAAAGACATTACAGATCTCATTATACTGGTGCTATTTTGTCTAATGAGTGTACATAAAACTAAACCATAACGTTTCTCCCCTTTCAATTTTAAATCACGTATATGAAGAAACTACACCGAACAGACTATACCATTTGACCATTGCAAAATTTTGTTTTGGCAGATAACGACAGTTCTTTTGTCAGTTTATCATAGCGTTTTTGGAAATAGCAAGATGGTACCGGTACTTCTAAGTAAGGAATTGCCGTCGGGTGATATTTCTGCATAGTAAGGTATGAAACTCATAGATTTTGAATTAAATGTTTAAAGATCGGCATAACGTCCAGGTTTTTTAAATACTGTATGTGGTCGCAAGTTGGTTTACATGACACTCAGTTGAAACAAAAACAATCTTGAATGTGCAATGGAGGTATATTAACAAAGAAAACCGACGCAAAAAGGGCAACATATATTTTTGCTCAAATCTTTAAACGTGTCGACTTTCAAAATTGCGCAAAAATTCTGTAGGATATTGGGGATTTTCAGAAAGAATTAAGAAAGTGGACAGTACGTGTAAAACTTTAGATGCCCTAAATATCTTATTTTATGCCGTCACCACGTTTCGTGTAGTAAATTGCATACCATACGCATATCTACAACGTAGATCACATTTTGCAATTTTCAATCACTTCAGCGATAACAGTCGTAATTTTCCACATATTGGTGATTAAATTTTGTCAATCTTCTTAATTTATGATCTGCACAGTTTCCTATCCTCACTATCAATCGTGAAAATCAATTTTAGTGCGCCTGACAACGATCCTTTACCCAAGAAAAACTAGCACATACGAACGCCTTTATTTAATCAATCGAAAATCTGAAGTTTAGCGTTAAGGAATTATTATTAGCTCCATTTTAAAGCAATTCCTGATAACAAGATAACTTCTTTACGAAGTTTGCATGATTAGAATGCTCTTAGTTGAGCAACTACTAATTTAATGCATATGCTCTATCCCCAGAGGTAATTTTACATTTTTTTCTATGCACATTTAGAATAATTCGTTATAGCGTACATGATAAAATACTCGTAAAACAATCCCGAATACGTAAGTGTAATAAAGCTATCTCGCAGTCCGACTGTTTTGTTTCTATGCAAGTCAAAGTTTAACTTTAGGTTAGTAAATACAACTCGATCAGTAAAAGTTGGTAAAGACAACTTTTAAAATTAAATCAACCGTTAACCTAATGCCTTGTTGTGGAAGCGTACGCAAAAGCGCCTGTTTAACATCATATCGCATAATGCTTTCGTGGTATTTCCTTCTGTACATCCTACAGCACACTTGCTACGATTTTTTAAAAATACAATACATTTTAGCATTGTAACTTTTATTCGTCCTATCCTGAGTAACATCATTTAACTGGGTTCTCTTTCTCGTCAGATTTTAAAGGCCTTTTCTGGGCTTAATTTGAAAAACAATTCCGTTATGCTCGATCAAGTGCTATGTCTTTGCAGTGCCTTCCCTTGTCAATTTGCATGGACTATATAGTGCAAAAAGGTTTTCGCGCAGTGGTTAGATGAATTGCAATGATCTAGATTGAACTTTCCACTAAAGTTGCAACTGTTTGAGTATACGTTAAATAAAATATAAATAGTCGTCCTTGCTGCAAAAGGAATCAGATTTCACTTTTCCTCAGCCCGAACGAAACATACCGTTAAGCGGATTTGCAGGCCAGCATGCTAAGTAAAGATGTGCTAAAGCTTTAATATTGATCTGAATTCTGCAAAACAGATAGGTGAATAATTTAAATTATCTGTATCAAAAAAATACATCAGAATGTGCAAACTAGTGTCACGCCGTTATTTATGTACCTTTACTTGGACACTGGGAGGAGCGAGTCGGGATGTTATATTAAAATCACTATATTTTTGCCCAAAAAGTCACTGCAAACATAAAGGCAGACAATATTTTTCAATGACAGCATAAACTTCGCATTATAGTATTCACCACTAAATTCTAACCTCCGGCGTGGTCGGTGAATGCCTGAACCGGATACCATTTCAACTGCAAAAGCCTCAGAAAAAAGCATCTGAGAAGTATTACTGGAGACTTAGTGGCCCCTGATCAAGAACGCCGGACTTCAGGTTCTAATCTTGATTTGCCTCAATGGTATTAAGATATATTTATGTATATATTGCTGAGGATGTCCATTGGCAAACACTGCAGAGAATGGGATAGCCACATCTAGGTTATTAGCTGGTATCAGTCAGTCTTACTAAACCTCAGATTTGAAGACAATTAATACTCCAATCCGTAAGCTAGATTAAAAATCGAACGTTCTAACCACCGAACGCGCATTAGAGTCTCAGGATTTAAACTTATAGGTTGCAGCCATTTCAGTCTACCATCAGGGCCCTAGATCGGGCATAAAGCACGACGGAACGGGTATGCCTCATAATGCAAACGTGCGCGCCGTCTACCACAAAAACCCATGTTTGAACAAAACATTTCCCTGATGGGAAGAAACGTCTTTGGCGTCTCAGGATTCCAAAATATCTGCTTCCATACCAACGCGGAATAAGGCAAATGAACAATTTTATTATTTTTAAGGAAAAACAGCTGAATTTTTTAGCCCTGTCCGGTAAAATGGAAATTGTGTTGCCATCTGTTCTCTGCAACCAAAGGCGAGATTCAACCTGAGACATTGTTAGATGACGTCCTTTCAATTTTTTAGTGGGCAAGTATTTAGTATTTGTGCTGGTTTGGAAAATACCAACTTTGATTTCGACAAATTCCTCAGCATGTTTAAATTCCTACTTTACTGCCAGACGAATGCATTCCATCTACTATCACCGCGAGTAATTTTTTACTATCTGGCCGCCTCCATGCCTGATTCTACACGGCATTGAATAAAGCAAATGAAACATTTCATTATTTTTAACGGAAAAGAACTTATTTATCAGTTCTGTCTGGTAAAATGGAAATGGTGATGCCATCTCTTATGTGCGACCAAAGACGGGAATCAGTATTTAATCTTGTTAGATGATGTATTTTCGATTGTTCCAAAATAACTACGTGGACACCAAATTTTAGCCAGCGCATCCGTATATCAAGAACGTTTTGGAAGCTGTCGGGCGCCTTCTCGCACAACTTGGGGTTGGAGTTGCACACAGACTGGAGGCAACCATTAGGCGTCAGTTAATGAAACCGAAAGACCCACTGCCACGAAAAGAAACGTCTGGAACCGTTTATCCGATCTGATGCAGTTGCAGACAAAGCAACTACATAGGAGAAACCGGAAGACAGCCCGAACGAGAATGGCCGAACACGATGCGGTGGTGTGGAGAAATGACGCCAAATCTCAAGTTGCTGCTCATTCGACGAGATCCGGTCACATTCAAATTAGACGAGGCCAAAATTCTCACAGGGTGTGACAACCGCGTGAGCCGGGAGATACTTGAATCATGGTTTACTGGCCCCCAGTCCATTGACAAGTGCAATGACCTTCACCTTCCACATTTGGGGCTGAGACTTCGCCTAGGCGGTGTAGGTAGCCACGCTGTGAGCGCACATGTGAACACTTTCCCCAACTCCATGCTCGGTGGTCGAGCAATCATCGCACCAACACCTAACACACGTGATAAAATTGCAGCAATTAATGACGCGAATGTCGACCATCGAGCAGTCATTACACCAAGTGCGACGATCCCGGATGAAGGGGGGATACGCAAATGTTTATAGGTATGCGGTAGCATGGCGACTGCATCCTGTAAATACAGCAGCTCCTTGTACATGAACCACCCGTGTCTCTGATGGTTGGTTCCAGCAGAAATCCGAAACG